CGTCATTGTTATTGTCCTTTTTTTTTTTGTGGAACCTTGTACTTGTTACCTGAATTTTTCTTCTCGTTTATCTATTTGGATCGACATGTTCCCTTTACTCCTTTCTTTTTGCTTTCGTTACATCGATCTGGATTCTCAAACATAACCAGGTTTCGGCGAGCTGGTCTTCCACAATTTTGCCTTTCTCACTTCTTCCTTCCCCGTTCCGGTGGGGGCCCTTTGGATCACCGGATGTTTCGAGCTTGTTCGTTTTTTTCTTTTTGAATTCGTCGTCAGACGCCAGTCCTGGATCGTTGCGCGTATTCCGCTAATTACTCGTTTCTGGTTTGTTGCCTCCAGATCTGGGTTCTGTGGCGGCTTTCTGACTCAAGATAAACTAGATCTGTTTTGCCTTTTGAGAGTGTTGCCCCCATCCTTCTAGCCCAAATTGTTTAGGGGATTTTTGGTCCTCGAGTATGGCAAGTCTCTTGTAAAACAGAGAAAACGTGACGGCCCGGAAAACACGACGGGGGTGTGTTTTCTGAAGGTTCTCTGATGCACAAATCAGAAAAAAGCTCTAAAAGACCACCAAGTGGCTAATCAGATAGTAGAAAGAAGTCGGAAAACGAGTGAAAGGAAGTAGGCCGAGAGTCCTTGAAAAAGGTTAGATCTACCCGTGCCTTTGGGAGGAAATGGGCTTTTAGCGGTGGAAAGAGAAAAAAATAAAGAGTTTATAGGTGAAAGTACTCCACAGTTTAGGAACCGCCGTGGAGGTGATCTAAAAAGGAATGACCGAAAAGATGGTCAGAAGAGTGTTGAATGCCTGAACTTAAGAACCACAAATATCTAGAGAGATATCGTGATACTTAAGATGGCTAAAAATGTGACCTCCTTTCTCATGGAAACGGCAAAGTATTTATAAGGAGTTACCTAACCCGGGTTAGTATACCAGGTCGATCTGCGAATAAAGAGTCGGGTGGGTCGGCCCACGACCCGTCTTGACTGCGTTCGAATCTTACGATGGCGTCATGCTTCTGACGGTCGCACCAACTTTCTTTGGCGTGTTCTGCCTGCTGCAAGACCGTTCCTTGACGCGTCCTTTTCGTCTTCAATGTACGAGTCGGGTCGGCGGTTCAGACGCGGTATTGGTCTTTGCTGAACCTCTTCTTTTCCTCTTGGCTCCTGCGAAAGGTCACTGTCACGTGACACAGATAAGGAAGATGCATTAAATGTCAATCTCGTGGGTTTGTAAGGGTATGGCTAATCAAATCGAACTAAGGCAAATCCCTTTTGTCAAGTGGAGACAAATTTGAATAGTGTTTCTGCCTAAAAGGTTTACTCATACCTGGTCTGATTCCCTCGATACTGGGACCGGGCTGCTGAGAATGGATGACTTCGCTCTCCGGGTATCTGTGCGGACTACACTTTTTTATATCATAACCCTTCACCGAGCTTAGGTCTACGACATAGAGAATGTGGCTTCTCTTCCTCTTGACCACTCAGTTTCTGACTTTCTTGTTTCAGACAGCATGGCTTGCACTGTCAGACACGACGAATCTGAAAATAGATGACCTATCGTGCTAGATCTTCCGAATCCGAATGGGCCTACCTCTAAAAAAGTCATTGATGCCACATATAATCATATAATTCATTTATGTAAGAATGATTGAATTTATTCCAACACTATCTTATATATATTCTACGAAATAATATGTTTTTTCAAACGAACAATATATAGATTCAGATCATTGAAACTTCACAAAGTAATATCTAAATAAATGTACTTGGTCACATATACAAATCAACTTTAACTTCTCAGGAAATAATTTTAATATACCGAAACTATATTACATATAATTTGAAATTTGATGAACGTTATGATTAAAACTAGCAGAATCGCATTTGCATTAACCAATGAGATTCAAGAAAACGCCTAATGCCAAAGAAACAAATAATTACGTTTCGCTTTTATTTTTTGGCTAAAATTCCTGGTGTTATACTTATCTTAACGGACCAGATTACATAGATGAAAAAGGGGAAAAAGGTGCCTTACAATGGCAAAGATATTCCAGTATGAACAGAGCCCAGTACAAGAACATAAAACAGAAAAACACTAACGAGAAGAGTATTGAAACCATAACGCAAAAGCATCAGCGAGGTCTTCTTGCAGAGCAAGTGTTCCTTATTCCTCGATCGATCATCTTGAGCAGCCCAGCTGCCAGAGTGTGGATACCTTTGTAGATCCGCGCATTGCTCTCTTGCCACATGGAGGTAATGATGGCCTGAGCCGATATGAGCCTTAGAAAAGCCAGAGAAGCGTTCTGTGTTTAGTTTCTCACGAGTCACGACACACCTTGGTAAAGAGTTAATCGTCGAATGCATTTTCTTAAGCCAGGCCATCATAGAATTGTGTGTATAAACCAAAAACAGAAATTTAAACCGAACCAACGGAGAAGCAAGAAAAAAAGGTTTATTTTCTTTCTACTCAATAGTCCCGAAAAACACAAGAGGTGGAATTGTAAGGAAAAAAAAACAAACATATAAGGGTAATATAGGTCCGAATATTAAAAGAAAACAAAAACATGTAAAATAGTGGTGGACTCTACAAGTCTAGTACTGACAAAAAAAACAACACCAGAAAATTGCTTTAGAAAAAAAGCAAACATCAACGGGTGAGATTTTTCTCGTCAAGTATCAATCGATTTTGACAGAGGAAAAGAGATAATGGACGAAGTAAAACGAAGTGAGAAAGCCAATGGTTCCAGTAGCGAGCATGATTGCAATTGCCATAAGCAGAGAGTAACCAATGTAAAGCATAGCAGAGACCGGTCCGCTCAGACTTTGCAGATCAAAGACCAAATAGTTGATAGAGTACGCAAAAACGTACAAAGCAACTGAACCAGACGCGTAGAACGCCTTCCACCACCATCTCCAATCTTCGACGCAGAGGTGCATATAGGTCAAGACCACTGATACTTCTGCACACACGACTACTAAAAGAAGTAGAACGATGAGCAAGAACCCGAACACGTAGTAGAATCTACCTAACCATATGCTGGAGAAGATGAAGAAGAGTTCTATGAATAGGGTCCCGAAAGGAAGTGTTCCTGCTCCAAGGACGAGAAGCCATGACGGGTATTTCCGTTCTGGGATTTCCCTTGGAATCTGGTTGGTTCTCACTGGAAACTGGATTGTTTCTGCTCGTGTGCCTAAGAATCCTCCGAACAAGGTGAGTGGAACCGAGATGCAGAACCAGAGAGCCAAGAGCTCAAAGTACAGTGATATTGGGATGGCACCGGTGCTGTTGCTGCTCCAGAGAAGGAAATTCAACACTGTTAGTATAACAAAAGCAATACCAGGGAAGAAGCATGCGATAGACCAAGAAAGTGATCTCCATCCTTCTGAAGTTCCTTTGACGGTTCTCCAGAGCCGAATACCAGCGTACCCAGCAGCTATACCCAAGAAAAGATAGAGAATTATCATGCCGGTTAGTAACATTCCTCTAGAAGCAGGTGACATGAAACCAAGTGCTGCAAAAACAATTGTGACAACAGCCATTCCTGTAATCCTAACACCGTCTCCCACCATAATACATAGTAGCTTGGATAGCTCTGGTTCTCGGAACACATCTCCGACAACAAGTTTCCATCCAGAGAGTTCCTCATTCATCTGTGCCTGCGCTTCCTTGTCTAGTTCTTCGTACTTTGTCAAATCCCTTCTCACTGTCCTCAGGAATATAACAAAGACTATACCGGCGAGGAAGAAGATTACCATAAGCGAGTTCAGAATAGAGAACCAATGGACGCGAGCACCTTCCATTTTCAAATAGGCATCCCATCTCGATGGCCATCTTGTCTCACTCCTAACAAATTCGACTTCATACGTGAAGGTTATTCTTTCATGTTCTTTTATGATCTGAGCTTTTTCAAGCTCCAGCGGACAGTTAACAGAAGTAACAGGGTCATACATGTGAAGCTTCGTCATTTTTGCAGGATCATACTTCACACTACAGGGAACAACCTCAAATCCAACTACCTCGTAGCCCAGGGCCTTCTTTTTATCAGCTTCAGAGATCACACCCATACCTTCTTCACCCGTACCAATTACCTCCATGACATTGCCTTCGTATTCATGGACCAACACCTTAAACTTCAGATGATTAATGATGTAATCATCATTGCTGTTGGGTGGTGAATATCCAACAGGGTATCCAGTCCACTGGATGGTAACCCCATTTTGTTTGGCAAATCTCAATGCTGGCAAGTTATCTAGAATCATATTCACTTGGTACAACTCGCGCGTTCTCTGTTTTAAGAGCTTGACCTCATGCTCATTCAGAGGACTCGTGGTACAGAGATAGAGAGACTCGTTCGTGTTCATCCGAAACCTATAAGCAGAGTTATCAATCTGATCCCCCATGAGAAGCTCCCCAAGATTCTCAGCACTTTTCTTAATGCCCTCAAGCGGTTTGCAGTAAGGAAGACTATAGAAACTGAAAGGAAGCTCAGTTTCGATAGATGTCAATGAATTGACTTTGGCTAAGATTGAGTCTCCGTTTGAATATGTGTGCATATAACTCCCTGGCAAGTAGAACCCATTGCACAGCTGACAAACAAAAACCAGCAAGACGAAAACTCGGTACAAAGCAAACATTTTTCTTCCTGTATGAAGCAAAAAAAAACTTCTCTCACGTTAGTAAGTGATTGATTTAGACACAGCATCATAACAAAATAACTCCAAATAGTCAAGTTTCATGAAATGCACATCCATATATGCTACAGAGCAAACATTCAAAAGAAGAAATCAAAAATCCAAATGTTCATGCATATAGATTAAGGCACCAAACACGATGCGTAAAATCCAGATTCGGAACTAATGTCATATATATCGCAAGATCAACAGATCGAAAACAGTTCGTCGACTTTCAATTTGGAATATCGGATCCCATCTGATCATTAACGCAAACTAATAATCCAAAAGCTAATCGATAATTGGTACGAGTAACAACGAATATCGACGAAATGTCTATGCGAAAACAATCAATACCAAATCAAATAGCGAGAAATAAAGACGATGCAACGACAGATCTAGGAAATTCGCGAATTGAAAAGAGCAAACCTGAAGCAGATCCAGATTCCGAGTTCTTCAACGGAGTCAGATCCAGGGGCACGAGAGGGAGTTCTTCTTCTCTCAATCTCTCTCTTTCTCTCTCTCTCGCTCTCGGTGTAGGTCACGCAGCTTAATCTCTCTCCCTGCCTTGCTTAGTGTATTCGCAATGAGCGAATAACGAAAATCAAGAAAATCGTGGGTGGGTAGTTATCCCATGCGACGCATACACATGTGTCGGTGCTGAATCACCGTTCCTCATTTCATCCATTTCCTACCTATGTTGTTTTTCTCCTTCTCTTTTTTTAAATTAAAACTAAAATTTATCCATATATTCGCACGAAAATTTTATTAAATTTTGTAATATAATTTATAATTTTTTAGATATAATTTTTTAATAAATGATAAAATTCATTTTTTATTTATATATATAACTTATATTTAATTTTTTCTGTTAATATTATTATGACCGCAAACATAAAAACATAATTATAACACGATCATTCTAATAATCGAAAAAAACAATTATTATAAAAACATAATTCTAATTCATTTATTTTATTAATGCGAAAAAGACTTAGTTATAAAAACATAATTCTAACTCATCTGTTGATATTACTATATAATAACATATTTACTAATTTTGAAATATTGTTGGCTTAATATCTTGCATGTTTGATAACTTAACCCGCATAAAACCATAATTATAAAAAAAATCTAACTCATCCCATCAAACTACCATAAAATATAAATATTTATCAATTTTAATATGTAAATTTTTTGGCTGATTGATTATGATTGAAAAAACACAATAACATATTCGTTAATCATATGTTTATTATGAAAATTTTATTTAAATTTCAAATGTTAAATTAAATCTAAATTATATTTAAAGAAGTCTAAACTTAATTGCATTTTTTTAGATATTTATAATTTAAATTCAATATAATTTATATTAAGAAAATCTTTAGTTATCTAAATTGATATCTAATTTTTGAAATTACTTTTTTTATATAAAAGAAAATATATTTTTTAAATAATATAGCAAAAAAATAGGAAAATTTTAAAACAGTTTTCAAATAATTATTTAAAAAAAAAATTTAGGAGTGTTTGGATACAAACACTAAAAGTGCTTCTGTTTTAATATAATAGATATTTGAAATATTTTCTCTTTCTTCAAATACATAGTGTTATTTTTGAAGTTTTTTTATTTTACAAAAGATTATTATTTTATCTTTTCAATACAAAATATTATACAAAAATCTAATTTTAACTTTGTTATTTTAATATTTTAATTAGAAAACAATTGTTGTATATATTAATAAAAAATAATGTAAAACTTTTACTAATTTTTTAAAATATGTGTGAAATATGTTAAAATGATATTTTTGGTGAAATATGAAAAATGCATCTTAAATCTATGATACAATAAAACGTTCATGGTTGATTCATTTGTACCAAAAATATCTGTAATTACATTTTACTTTTTCTTGATTTGTAAAAACTTAAGCTTCTCATCTGGTTGGCCTATTTTCAAAACCTCAATTACATTCTGAAGTTTTAATTTGATGTGGCATGCTCATATCATTTTTCAACCATTAAATGATTTTTTAGTACTAGATTAATCGTTTTGTGATATCATGTGAATTGAGAAAGTACAATAAGGATAAAGAGACCAAACACCTTTAAAAAAAATGCATTGAGAGCCTTAATAGAATAGGACCATATGAATTCTGCTCAAGGAGAAGACCATTGGAGGGAAAAGAAGAATATAAGAGACGTTGGAGACTAAGAAACACATATGACCTTATATTGAATTCAAGCTAAGGTCACGTCGCTATCAAAGACAACTTCTTTTTTCTTTGTTTTGTCTTTAATTGATCTGTCGTCTTTTAGTGTAGAGAGAAAATATCTTCTAGGGTTCTTATGCTCTTTGTCTCCTCTATAAAAGAATTGTAACCGAGATTGATGAATACATTTATGAAATTCTTTCCACTTCACTCTTTCTCTCTAATCTCATCACTCCTCTACTTTCTTTATTTCACATATATCAACATGGTATTAGAGCAATGATCTCTTAATTCTCTTTAATCTTTTGATTCTCTCTACAATCTCTTCAAACTCACATACTTATTCTCTTCTTTAACTTTACTCCAGTTATTATTCTACGAATATATTAATACTTTGTTTGTTTTACGTAGATCATGATTCTGTTTTTGATCAAAAGTTTTTGACTAAAGGAGGTACTCTTGCCCGTCCTGTTATTTAAGTCTTCTATATACCGTTTTGTAAATTTTTTTTATGCGTGTTTATGTTTGCTCTGACATATATTTTGTAATTTTAGGTTCTGGACATGTTAGTTTGACAGACCGTACTCTTAAGACCTTTCTTTGGGATTTTGAGAGGAAAGCTTGGTTTGTAAAGAAAGAAACTGATGGGTTCAATGGTATATATATATACATATATATATATATTTTAAAAAATAATACATATACTAATTATAATTTGTTTTGTTTTAATTTATACATGATAGTTACTTTGGATTATATGAGTATTTTCTTATGTTTATTTTGCAGAAGATTGTGATTCTGATGACATTGAGGTGTTATCCGGACGTGGTATGGACCAAACAGATTTCTACGATTCTGATGATGATTTAGATGATGGTGAATCTTAGAAAGATCTGATGGTTCGAGTGATCGTTCTGATGGTGATAGCAATGATGATGAAGACGAAGACAGTGCTGACTCCACCGATGATGGTGACAAAGATGATGATGTTGAGTCGAATGATGAGACTGAGAGCAATGACGATGTAGATGATCATCATAGTGTTAAGTCGGACGATATACTCATCGGAAATGATATTAGTGTTTCAGGCCACCAGGCTCCTATTTGGACTTATACGGTGCCACTTGGCTTAATGTATTTTGGGGGGTGTGTTTCTTGTTAGACCCTTGAAAGCTGATTGTACTATATTTTTTATGGTTTTATAGACGTGGATGCATCGGCTAATTTCCAAACGTTCTTTTTTGGAGGTCATATTATCCGATGAACATGTATTTATTATATCAAAAGAAAAAAATTATTTTTTTCAGGTGATATCTAATAAAAAATGCTTTGTTCTTAGATAAAAATACATGTGATTTTTCAAGGTGTGAAAAAATTCAGACCACAGTTAAAGATGATCAATTGCAAATTCGCGCGTTAATGTTGGAAGTTGGATTATTATCAGTCGTTTTGTTGTTGTCGATTGTGAGGATAGTTGTAGACCAACCTCTCATCGCTACAAAATATTGTTTCTACCATGGACTATCATTGACTTTATAGATTTTCAGAGAATATTGGATCGTGTCCATGATGATTATTATTTAGATGGTGTGTTTATTTTTTCATTTATTTATTGAGCTTTCGTTATTATGGTATTGATCATGTTAATTTGGATTAACTTTGACTGTTTGTGAGATTTAATAGGTCGTGTCTTAGATGTAAGATGCTCAGGGACTTGGGGAAGTTTACTATCTAAACAGAACCATGTTCCTCCGTATGGAAGTCTATGTAAGGATGCAGATGATTCCGAGAAACAGGGTGCATATTCACCTTTTATTTAAGGGATAAATGGTATTATTTCTTGAGGATTTTTTTTTTTTGATAAAATGTAATATTAATTGATCATCGAAGAGAGTTATTTACAAGGATAAAAGAAGAAAAGGGAAGCGTTTTATCCCTCGACAACAGCGCTACAAATTGAAAAACAGAGCAGTGAGTTTAAAGCAGAGCATCAGCTCATCTGGGAAGAGGGCCTCGCGTACTCAGCCAATGGGTCAATAACTCCGAGTCTTCTTCTTTGTGGGATGTTGCAAGCAATTTGAAGCGGTTGTAGACGTCCCGATCAATCGCATGAGTGAGCATGAGAGCGGAACGAGGGGGTCGCTGGTGTCGCCGTCCATTCCTCTCTCTCCAGATACCATAGATCGAAGCCTGTAGTGCAAATGAGCCAGAATGTAGTTCGATCTGATCCTTTGATGACGCGCAACAGAGCGGATGGTGATTTCTCAGTCAGGATTCGTTTTGCCTTTCAAGAGCCCAGAAGCTAGCCTGTTCCATACCGTAAAAGTGTACGGGCACGCAAAAAACAGGTGATCTCTGCTTTTGTTCCTTTATCCACAGAGCAGACAGTCTTGCACTAAACCCCATTGCTTCATTCTGCTCCCCGTAGCTAGTCCGTCAAGAACGGTTAACCACACGATGAAGGCATGACGAGGAATGGCTTGAGAGAACCACACCAGTTTGTTCCACCAGACAGTCTAGCGAGGCTCTCTGATTTGATCCCACATCGCTCGAGAGGAGAAGTGCTCCTTGTATTCATTAATATCATTACGCCATAAGACCATATCTGAGCCATCAGATGCACTCAGAACTGGCAAAGACCTGATGCTGCTCAAAATCGCCTGCAAGTGTTCTCCTCTGCATCGATGAATTCTCCATGTCTGATTTCTCATAATCCTCCTTTCAGCATCACCAATAATGTCAACAGGTCTCCCAATATTCAGCCAGTTATCAAACCAGAATGAGGTGGATTCTCCATTTCCAATGACGTGACGAATAAAAGGTGCCGCTGTCGGACATAGCTTCAAAAATTTTCTCCAGATCCAAGAGCCCCAAGATCCCTCAGGAACGTCCCAGAACGATGAGTGGCGGAGAAGATAATGGTGAGTCCAACTGACCCATAACAATTATGGGCTGGTGAATAATAGCCAAATCAGCTTTAACGCAAAGACTCGGGAAGAATCGTGCATTCGTCAGACCTCCTTCCATCTTTGGTCTACAGACATCATTCCATGATACCTCTGATTTCGAGGAATAATGAGGTGATCCAGACCAAAGGAAAGCTGAGCACATGCTTTCAATAGTGTCGAAGCAGCGCTTCGAAAGATGGAAAGCTGCGCACCAAAAGTTCGTTATACTGGCAATGACAGATTGAATAAGTTGCACACGCCCAGCAAAAGAGAGAGATTTGGAGGACCCAGAGACCATACGTATGCGAATACGATCTATCAGCGGCCCATAATCCAGTCTAGTCACACTCTTCGTCATGAGAGGTAAATCCAGGTATCTAATAGACAGTTGTTCCAACGGAAAACCAAGCTCCAAAGCAGTTTGGAGGAGAGATTGATCAAATATACCCGCCACAAACAGAGAAGATTTTGAGACATTGATTGCTAGCCCGATTCTCTCGCAAACTCCCTCAAAATTTCCATAACCCTTCTAAGCGACCTCTATTTACCATCCATGAACACCAGCATGTCGTCCGCAAAACGGAGATGGGTCAGCTGAGTATCTCGACACATGGGGTGGAAAGCAATAGCCCCACTGTTCGCCGCTTTGTTTAGTAACAAGGAGAAGACGTTGATGGCAATTACGAACAAGTACGGTGAAAGCGAACAACCCTGTCGAAGACTGAGAGAGCTCGTAAAAAACCCTTGAGCTCACCATTTACAAGGATGGAGAAAGCCGCTGTTGATATACAGCTTTGGATCCACATAACAAAAATATCCGGGAATCCCATGGCTTTGAGTGTGGCAATTATGAAATCCCACCGAAGAGTGTCGAAAGCTTTTGCAATATGCAGCTTGAGAGCACATCTTGGAGATATAGAATCCGCATGATAATCCTTTACTAACTCCATAGCAAGAAGAACGTTTTCCAACAATAATCGTCCCTGAACAAATGCACTCTGGTTAGGAACCATACCCTCTGGCAGAATTACTTTGAGCCTGTTCGCGATAATGTTGGATATGATCTTGTAGATGAGATTGCAGCACGCTATAGGACGGTATTCTCGCATTGTCTGAGCCGAAACAGTCTTTGGCGCAAGACAAAGCATTGTCGCATTAACTCCGCTTGGCATGAAACCATAGATAAAGAAAGACTGACCGTGACAACAAAATCGGAAGAGATAACAGGCCATGCCGCAAAAAAAAAAATTCCGCCATGAATCCATCAGGCCCCGGAGTTTTGTTTGATGGCATTAAGCGAAGAGTTCTCAGAATTTCCTCTGCCGTTATCGGTTGCACTAGAGACTGAGCCTGCTCAGAGGAACAATGATATTCAATAAGACCTCGGAGGTCTGTGTTCGAATAAGCAGGAGAGTTAGGATTCAGGGCTTGTAGAAATGTCTGAAAGTAGTTCACCGCCTGTGCTTTAATATCCTTTTATCTGTAATGTGCTCTCCATCAACTGTCACAGGCTGTTTTATCGAGTTTTTTGCCCTTCGAGTCTGTGTAACTTGATGGTAAAACTTCATGTTCTTATCACCATAACGCAACCAGTAATCCACGACTTTTTATGAAAAAATCTTTCTTCTATGCCAGAGTAATGATGCCATTGCAGAAGCTTCCGATGCTGCCGCCACATTTTCAGACGTAAGAGATAGCAGCACTTGCTGTTGCTTCTCACATAGAGACTCAAACGCTTCTCTAGTTTTCCCCGTAATGTCTACATACCTCTCCTTGTTCAGAGCTTGCAAATGGCTTTTGAGAGATTTGAGTTTCCGATGAAAACAGTACAGAGCTGATCGAGAATGAAATAATAAAGGAGACTCTGCCCAGACTTGCGATACCACTTCCAGAAATCTTGGGTGGTCGGCCAAATAGTTGAAAAAACAGAAGTGATGGCGTTTCTCTACTTGGCGAGGCTCTGTTTCGACTGAGGAAAGCTGGTGAGCCAAGAGTTATTTACTAGCGCTCGATCTAACTTCGTGCCAATAAGAGTTTCTTCTCTTTGATTCCACCAAGTGAATTTCGGACCAACATAACCCAGATTCGTTAGCTCAGAGTCTGCAACCAGTGACTGAAAATCTCTCATGCCATTTTGATCTCCTAAGTACTCTGATGCTCGAGAGTGCTCATCAGATGCTAGAGTTTCGTTAAAATAACCTATAAGAATCCATGGAGGTTCCTCCCTTTTAAAGATCTCCTGCGTGTGCTTAAGCTCCTCCTATAGTATCACTCGATCTTGCCGGAAATTAGAGGCGTAAACACAAAATCACATAAAAACCAGACCCGACTCAGTAGTAACCCCCATTGTGATAACTTGAGGGCTTTTATACAGTGGCGTCATCGTAACAGCATCAGACCATAGAATTCAAATATGCCCCAGACTGTGGTAATCGTAATTGGTAGTAGAATTCCAGCCGTAAAACACAGAATCAATAATAGACGGACAATTTTCCTCTTGAACACGAGTTTCTAAGAGACAGCCAAAAGATGGGCTTTACTGCTGAATCCAAGAACAGACAAAATTATGTTTGTGCATTTTGTTGAAATCCCGAGTATTCCACGCAAAAAATGATGTCATGATCATTAGTGCTTCCTTGCGAAAGCTTTATTAGTTTGGATTGTTTGGAGCAAGAGTTTGTTCGTCTTCGTTGCAATGTTTTTCCTTTGGGACTTTGTTTTCCCCTGCTGAACCCCACTAGTTTGCATTTTCTGCTTGAGGACAGGAGATCTTCCTCTTCAGAAGATTCTTTTACGTCGTCTTCCTTAGGTATGATCTCGCCTTCCTCTGCTTCATCCTTAGTTTCCTCATTACACTCAGTTTCCATCATTTGCTCAAGAATCTTGAACCCCGTAGGAGAGTTTGACTTGGGGATTTTCGGTAGAATCCCCAAATCTTTAGCTTTTGCTGGTGATCTCCTCCCCATTTTTGTTACCATTGTCCACACCTTCTCCTGAACCACCTTTGTATTTGCATTCTAATCTGAGCTCTGTTCCGGGATCACCATCACAGCATTTTACAGTCTCTTCCTCTTGCGCAACCGTGGGTGTGTTATTGTCCACATTTCCCACCTGATCTCCCTTGCTTACTATATCTCCATTTTCTGCAGATTAGACCGGATATGTTCTGCACTTCTATCAGCCAGAATTATCGATCCCTTTCGCATCTGCTCACATTCTGTGTTAGTATGACCCCAACACTTGCATAAAATGCATCGTGGAGGGAGCCATGGGTAAGTCACAGGAATAGTGATCTCCGGATCAGATTGAAGCTGAATTTTTTTCGGCAACGGTTTCTCCAGATTCACACCCAC